AAAAAAAACCACAGTCCACATTAATTTTGCCTTATTAGCCTGACAAAGACAGCTCATTCCCGAATGGAATTATAACCACAGACATCCAGAATAGGATTTATAACTTGTATGTTTGTCTTTGAGTTGTGTTGTTGGAGAAGAGTACTAAATATCCCATGGACTGCCAAAAGAACAAATAGGTCTTAGAGATAAGGATGGTGAAACTTTGTTGCACATATTCTGGCCATGCTGTTAGGAAGGGCCGTTGCTTGGATAGGGACATCATGCTTGGAATGGTAGAGGGCGAGCTGCAGAGAAGATGCTCACTGAGATGGATTGACGCGGAGACTGTTGCAATGGGCTCAACCATGTCAGCGATGATGAGGATGGCACAGAGTAGGACAGAGTTCAGATCTGTTTTTCAGTTTTTCATAGGGTTGCTATGAGTTGTACTGAACTTGATGGCATCTAACAACAACATATTTGGGCAATACAATTAAAACCACAGCAGACACTTGATGTCTGTGCCTAGCAGATTAGAGACCGGCAGAGGATGTGGTGTTTGGTATGTGAAAGTAGAGAGAGGGCTTTTGATCATAAGGGCTATAAACTGTACTTATGACTCTATTGCTTTGCTTCTTGTAGACACCCAGTGCAGCGATGGCTGACCATAAACCTGCATTAACAAGTCTCAGTAATTACAGCGGTGAGTAAGAAATGTATGAATCGACTCCTAAAAGTCGAGTCTCCAGCCAAAAGTTCCTCTGAAATTATGGAAGGGAAAAGAAAAATATAAAAAAACCCTAATATATCTATGTGCTTGTTAAGATCCCAGCCTGATCTGTACCTGATTGTTGTGATTCGATTCTTACGCAGCCCAGTTTCATAATATGAACAGAGAGGGTAGGTTACCACACTGTGGGATTCACTGACAGAGTTAAGAGATGCTTTTATCTTTTTTTCTAAGAAAAAGTTCTATTCTTTTTGCTATGAACATATCAATTATATTACTCTTTGACAGCTACAGAAAACAGATCCCATGCTGCGCTAGCCCATCTTCTCTAAAGATTCTCATTTGGTTCCAGACCTAGGTCAAGCATGTACTGCACAGGTTTGGCTGCCACCAGGCACTACTGCTGCTGAGACCCAGGTTTAGGAACCACTTGGTTAAAATAATTATCAATGGAAGTAAATATCTTTATAGTTACCAGTGTATCTTTTTCTGTATTATCTTTTGCCCAGTCAAAAGATTTTACAGGGTTGTTTATGACATATTTTTATTCCTAAAATTTTGGGGAGGATTGCTTATTTCTTCATGATTTGAGGGACTGTTCTATGTATTCTAGATACTGCTTCATATAGGACTCCCCCCCACCCCCCTTAGCTGGTCCATTGCCAGTTTTGATTGTTCATGATTTGGGTTCAGTCACTTTGGCCCATGAGAAATTCTTCTCTCAATTGAAGGGTATGTGTAGATTGGTTGGAAGCAGGTTTCACTTTCTTTTCTGTGGGGATATATTATGTCGAGGAGCAGAGCAACATCCAAGCCTTAAATTTGTGTTGTGGAAGTGAGGAAACAACTGTAAGTCCAGGTGCCCTCCTGCCCAGCACACCATTGTTGTTGTTATTTGGGGCCCATGAGTCTACCCCAACTCGTGGCAAAAGTATGAACAGCAGTTAAGCACCTTGCTCTATTCTGCACCTCTCTCATGGTCCCCACCACGCTCCAGCCCGCTGCTCATCACAGAGGCATTCCATCCCCTTAAAAGATAACAATTCCAGGTAGTGGAATCATGGTATTTCTTCTTCTCATTATACTTTACCAATCAGTTGTGGCATTTCTGTAGTCAGGAAACAGTGGACTTCTATATTTTAGAATCTTCACTTTTTAAAATCGGTGGCTTCTAGAGATCCTTGATTTTTTGATGCAGGCAGTAGTAACAGGTTAAGGACAGTTCTTTTTATTAGTAAGTAATAGTTTGTTAACATCCAGGATGGGATCACAAGTGGTGAACTGGCAGATGCAATACAGTAAAAGCAAACAGTGGTAAAGCCAACCTCCCACAAGCTAAACAAAGTGTTCCTATGAAAAATGTAAAGAACTCATTTAGATTTCCTTTGTATTCTGCACAACTTTGAGAGATAGATACAGTGCTGGTGGCTTAGTGGTAGGGAATTGCACTGCTGATCCAAAGGTACATAATCTTAATCCACCAGCTTCCCTGTGGGAGAAAGATGGGCAGTCTTCTCCCATGTAATTTACAGCCACTGAATACTCAGTGGATGCTCAGCTGTGGGCCCATTCTGACACTGTGGTACATAACAAGCAACAATTACTGTCAAATGGGAGCGTCTGGGCTAGTCTGTAGCTAGTAGCACTGTTTACCCAAAGGTCATGCCTCTCTGGCAGTTCTAATCTGCCAGCTGCTACCTGGGGGGAAAATGGGCCATTTCCTCCCATGTGATTCACAAACAGCTTCAGAAACCCTCTAGAGGGTGACAATGAGAGAGAAAGAGATTGCTGACAAAGTGGCAGTGGCCTCAAGTAAACGCCACCCTGTTATTTCCTTCTGCACTGTTTTTAAATCTGCCTTCTGTGGTTGTTTATGACAGGTGTTCCAGACTCCCAGGGAAGAGAGGAGAAAATAGACAATGGGTTCTACAGTAAATTTCCTGTCATCATTGTGAAGGGAAACAAGGAGGCAGTGCAGGAGGCCGAAGCATGGGTCCGTAGGTTGCTGACCCTCCAGGGGCACCACATCATCGAGAACAACCACATCCTCTACCTCGGGAAAAAAGAGCATGATATTTTGTCTCAACTTCAGAAAACCTCAAATGTCTCCATCTCGGAGATTATCGATTCAGAAAAGGCCAAATTAAAGATTACAGGAGCCCAGACTGACCTCCTGGAGGCGGTTATAATCATTGAACATCTGCTGTGCCATGTCCAGGAGGAAATGGCAATGAAAATGGAACAAGATCTTTTGAAGTTATTAGGTGAGCAGCTTCTTATTAAGCTAAAAATTCAGCTTTCTAACTGTTCCTCCTTTTTGGATGTGAGTGTGCATGTGCTTATGTAGGTATGAGCAAGAATGGCAGGAGAGAGAAAGAAGATTGTTGTTATTATTAGGTCATAGACTTATCTGAGCCACTTTCTACTACTAGAGGTATTTATTAGTAAGTAATCTTTATTTTAAAAAAAAACAAAACAAAACCCAAAACAACCACCACTACGTTGGGTTTACATAGGATGGAATACTTTATAAGAAGTAATTACAAAGAAAGCCAAGGAATCCAAGCCCACATCCTGGTGGTGGTGGTTGTTATATGCCCTTGAGTTGTTTGTGTCTCATAGTGATCCTGTGTACAACAGCTCTGAAGTCTTCTCTGTCCTGAGCCAGTCTCACTGACTATGATACACCTACCCCCATTGCCCCAGTTACTGTCAATCCATCTCATCCAGGGTCTTCCTCCTGCGCTGTCCTTCCACCTTTCTGAGCCTGATGCCCTTCTCCAAGGACTGTTCCTTCTGGCTGCATTGCCAAAGTATATGAGATGGAACTTCAAAATCTGTGCCTCTAAGAAACTTGGTTTTACCCTCTCCTGGAGGGACCTGTAATTTCATCTCTAATTTCATAAATGTTTATGTGTTCCATTTCTTTCTTAACAATTTCTAATTTTCCTACATTCATGGCTCTCACATTCCATGTTCCAATCACTAGG